GCAGATTGTTGGTATAATGAGGACAACAATCGTGGAAATCAAGCAAACATTGCTGAAAACACTGCTGAAAAGTCTGGTGAGAGTTCTGAAACTTTACTTTTAGCCAGCGATAGTTTTTCTGCAGATAAGAACATATGGTTCTTGGATACTGGGTGTAGTAACCATATGTGTGGGAAGAAAGAATTGTTTTCTGAATTGGATGAATCAGTCCGGTCTGAAGTAACGTTTGGCAATAAGTCAAAGGTGCCAATTTTGGGAAAAGGTAAAATCTCTATTCAGTTGAAGGATGGTACTCACAATTTTATATCCGATGTGTTCTATGTTCCTGAACTACACCAAAATTTGTTGAGTATGGGTCAGTTGTCAGAAAAAGGATATAAGATACATATTGCTCAGGGGTGTTGTACCATTGCAGATGCTAAAGGAGTTTTGATTGCAAAGGTAAATATGTCCCAAAATCGACTATTTCCTTTGAAAATTAAGCATACTCTCCTTGCTTGCTTTAATTCTGAAGTTTGTGATGATAATTGGTTATGACATATGCGGTTTGGGCATTTTCATTTTTCTGGGTTAAACTATCTTGCGAGAAAGGAACTTGTTTCTGATTTACCTGTTGTGAATGTCCCTAATCGTATCTGTGAGATTTGTGTGATTGGGAAGAAGCATAGAGATCCCTTTCCCGTGGGCAAGTCAAGGAGAGCCACAAAACAGTTGGAGATTGTTCACTCAGACCTGTGTTCGTTGGAGGTTCCCTCATATGGAGGTTGTAAGTACTTTATTACTTTCATTGATGATTTCAGTAGGAAAACATGGGTTTACTTTCTGAAGCAAAAGTCTGAAGCATGTGATGTTTTCAAACAATTTAAGGCTTTTGTTGAAAAGCAAAGTGGTTATGAAGTTAAAATCTTGAGAACTGATAGAGGTACAGAATATATTGCTTGTGATAATTTTCTGAAAGAAAAGGGTATTCAGCACCAAATGACAGCTAGATACACTCCACAACAAAACGGAGTGGCTGAGAGGAAGAATAGGTCAATCATGGATATGGTGAGGTGCATGTTGAAATCCAAGGATCTGCCTAAACCTTTTTGGGCAGAAGCTGTTGCTTGTGCTGTCTATGTGTTGAATAGGTGTCCAACTAAAAGTGTCCGTGATAAGACGCCCGAAGAAGCTTGGAGTGGGAGAAAACCCTCTATCAAATATCTCAAGGTTTTTGGATGTTTGGCATATGCCCACGTGCCGGATCCATTGAGAAAGAAGTTGGATGATAAAGGTGAGAAATGCATATTCATTGGTTATAGTGACGCTTCAAAGGCTTATAAACTATACAATCCTGAAACTAAAAAGGTTGTTATAAGTCGTGATGTCACTTTTGATGAATATGGTGCCTGGGATTGGTTAGCTAAAGATGAAAGTTCAGTTGTTATTCCTGCTGTTGAAAATATTGTTGAAGAGCAACCGATTCCAGATAATGTCCAGTCTCCTTCACAGCCAGAATCGTCAGTTCGGCGATCTCAGCGCGAGCGCCACTTACCAGCTCGCTTGCAAGATTATGTTTTGGGTCATGATAATGACCTGTCTGATGAAGAGATTGTTCAATTTGCTCTCTTTGAAGATTGTGATCCTTTAACTTTTGAGGAGGCTGCTACAGAAACTCGTTGGCTTAAGGCGATGGATGAGGAAATACGTGTCATTGAAAAGAATGGTACCTGGGAGTTAACAGATTTACCTCCTGGAAAGAAGCTGATTGGAGTAAAGTGGGTTTACAGAACGAAGTACAAATCAAATGGAGAAATTGACCGTTTTAAGGCACGGTTGGTAGCAAAGGGTTACAAGCAAAAACCAGGTATTGATTATTTTGAGGTTTTTGCTCCTGTAAGTAGACTTGATACAGTTCGAATGGTTATTTCTCTTGCTGCTCAAAATGATTGGAAATTGCATCAAATGGATGTCAAGTCTACTTTTTTGAATGGTTTTCTTGAAGAAGAAATATATGTTGAACAACCTGCAGGATTTCTGAAGAAAGGGGAGGAAAATAAAGTGTACAGGTTGAGAAAAGCTTTGTATGGCTTAAAGCAAGCGCCTAGGGCGTGGTATGGTTGCATTGATTCATATTTTGTTGAAAGTGGTTTTATGAGATGTCCTCATGAACACACTTTGTATGTCAAATGCACGGATTCTGGTGATATTGTTCTAATCTGTCTGTATGTTGATGATCTGGTTTTTACTGGAAATAACTTGAAGTTAATCTCAGAATTCAGGGAGGCACTCATTAAGAGGTTTGAAATGACCGATATGGGCCTTATGTCTTACTTTCTTGGCCTTGAGGTTGTTCAGATGGATGGTGGAATCTTTATTTCACAAAAGAAGTATGCTGTTGATATTTTGAAAAAGTTCAAAATGGAAAACTCCAAACCAGCTTCAACTCCGGTAGCTGAAAAGTTAAAGGTGTCCAAAGATGAGTGTGGTAAGAATGTGAATGTTACGTCTTATAAAAGCTTAATTGGGAGTTTGAGGTATCTGGTGGCAACAAGGCCAGATATTTCTTTTGGAGTTGGAATACTTAGCAGATTCATGGAGGAACCAAAAGAATCACATTGGGCTGCAGCAAAGCGAATTCTGAGATATGTCAAAGGTACGAGTAATGATGGAATTTTTTACTCTACAAATGAAGCTGTGAAACTTGTTGGGTATACAGACAGTGATTGGGCTGGAGATGTTGAGACCAGAAAAAGCACATCAGGATATGCCTTCTATCTTGGTTCAGCCATATTTTCTTGGTCTTCAAAGAAGCAGCAGATTGTAGCACTTTCAACCGCAGAAGCAGAATATATTGCAGCAGCAAACTGTGCTACTCAAGCAGTTTGGCTGAGGAGAATTTTGGAGTTCTTACAACACGAGCAGGAAGCACCTACGACTATTTTTTGTGACAACAAGTCAGCAATTTCGTTGTTCAAAAATCCAGTCTTTCATGGTCGTAGCAAACACATTGATATCAAGTATCACAAAATTAGAGAGTTGGTTGCTGAAAAGCAAATCAACATTGAGTATTGTTCAAGTGAATGTCAAGTTGCAGATATCTTTACGAAGCCGTTGAAGACGGAGACATTTCTTAAATTGAAGAAGGAAATTGGGATGACCAATATATCCAACTTGGTTTAAAGGAGGCAATGTTATAATAATATTAGTAATAATATTATTATTAATTAAACCAAGTCAATATTAAAATGAAATGTGAGGTGTGTGAATGTGAACGTGGGTCATGCAGCATTACTACGTGGATCATGGATTAGCAATACATGCACCATTAGTCCTAAATTGTAGCTATGTTTATTATTCTTCTTTTTAGTATAAATAGGCTGTGTATCCACACTTCCAAAATCATCAATCAAATTATTCATGCATTCCTCTCTTTCTTTCTCTAAATATATATATCTTATATTATATTATATTTAATATATATATTATATTAAATATATTATATTTAATATATCTTATAGATATATATTATATTATATTTAATATATATATTATATTAAATATATTATATTTAATATATCTTACAGATTTTAATTAAGTAATTTCAATGTTAGTTCGACTTAATGACTTAGTTTTATCCTTAGCATGTGCAATCATCGTGGAGAGGTGGTTGTGGCGGTGACATTCCCACTAGTTTGTTATTTAAGTTTGTTTATCCGCTGCTTAGTTTATCTTGATTTTGGTTTTAGAACTGTAAATAAGTTTAAGAAAAGTGGGGTGTTACACCCGGACCGTGAATAAAACCAATCTCTTGATTGTAAGAAGTGATTAGTAGGTCTCCCTGCAAACCCAGTCACTTGATTGGTCAGTTTCGATCCTTAGATCATGAGTAAATCCAACCTCCCGATTGGCGTAACCCGATTCTTCGATCGGTATAGTTTAATCTCCTAAAGCATGCTAGAATTTGATCCTTAGATCATAAGTACAATCTCCTGATTGGTACAACCCGACCCCTGGATCTGTGCAGTTTGATCTCTTAGATCGTAGAAAATTTGATCCCTAGATCGTGAGTAAATCCAATTCGTTGATTGGTAAAAATTAGATCCCTAAATCGCAAATTGGTTCAACCTCTCGATTGCAGCTAGCAATCCGATCGCTAGATTGGTAGAAACCCGGTCTCTCGAGTCGTGCCGCAAATCCGGTCGCTAAATAGGTAAAGTAGATCTCTAGATCGCGGTTAACCCGATCTCCCGATCATAGCTAGCATCCCGATCGCCAGACCGGTAGATTTCAACCTCTCGAATCGTGTTGCAAATCTTATCCCTAGAACGGCAGAACTCAAACAACCCCTTATAGTCCACCAAACTTCGCCTAATAAAGTTGTGCTCTTTTTTCCTTAGCTAAAATTTGTTCCCACTGGATTTTTTATTAGTTTAAGGTTTTTAACGAGGCAACCGGCGTAAGTCACAGACCATATAATCAATTTTCCAACCCGAACCCTTCGTCGTTAACTCATCGTCAGGGCTCGGAATGGGGGGCTACTTGATAGGATATATATCCCGGTTTCGACTCCCCTGTACGTCCGTGTTCTCATTTTATAGTCGGGTTGGGGTCAAACAGTTCAGGACCCAGTCCACGAGTCAATTTTCCAACCAGCCCACGCTTGGGCCTATAAAAGGGGCCTTGACTCTCCATGTTAGGGGTTCCTTTCTTCCCCTCTCCTCCACTCTCTCTCTAGAGCTTAGAAACCTCCCTACTTCTCTCTAAATTATACAAAGAATAAAAGAGTATTTGAGCTATGATATGATTCTAGCATTCCTACCCTTGATTCTATATATATATATATATATATATATATATATATATATATATATATATATATAATACATATCAATACACGCGAGAATTAACCGTATCAAGCACATTCAGTTATGGTACTCATACTGCTCAGTAGATACTTATACAGCATTTGTGGTTCTGAGTCTAATATGAGGCAAAATATGGCTAACCGTCTATCATTTAAGAGGCAACACAATCAACACGCTACCGCTTCCGCTTATACGAGGTCAAGTTGTATAGTTAGATTATTTATATCCAATACTAACTCCTACTAAATCTTAAATCTGTATCCTACACTATGATGAACTAATTGTACTACGATACCAAGAATATAATATACTTGAGCTAGCTTAAATGCTTAATTAAGAATGATGGGGAGATTCATGTGCATGGGTGTCCACAAACTGTTTCCTTTCACCTTCGCCTTCACCCTCACCCTCAATCACTTCTATTCTCCGCAACACTTGACCCATTGTCGGTCTTCTCTCCGGCTGCGTATCGGTGCACTGCAAAGCCAAGTCCGTTAGCTTCAACATCTCATCGTACCCTTCCTTGTCCGCAAGTATTTCCAAGTCAAGAATATCGGTAGACCAATCATTGTTCACAACCGCCTTAACCCAATCCGTCAAATCACCATCGCCGGCGGCGTTTCCCGGTGAGGCCAGGGCGCCGGGGCTCTTCCCCGTGATCACCTCCAGAAGAACAATGCCGAAGCAGTACACATCCGCCTTGCCGCTCAGCTTCTTGCCTTGACAGAACTCCGGCGATCTTGCCACGGCTAGTCTTGCCGAGGATTCCCGAGATGGGAGAAGGGGCAGTAGGCCGTAATCTGCGAGCTTGGGTTGGTAAGCTTGGCGATGGCTGCCGTCTCTATGTTGGATTAATACGTTGGAGGAGGCGATGTTGCCGTGGGGCGCCTTGTGGGACGGTAAGGAGTGGTGCAGATAAGCGAGTCCCTTGGCTATGTCCTTTACAATGGATAATCTTACTTCCCAATTTATTGGAACTCTCCCAATTCCTCTGTTATCTGTATCCATAAAGCAACCAAAAGTAAGTTGTTATATATAGTTAAGGAAAATTGCAGTTTTAATCTTTGTGTTAGTTATAGCAGCATGTATGTGTAATTTTCTTTCATAATTAATATAGAGTAACAATAGTACAAGTTAAGATTTAATATTTGTAGTGATATTAGTGATTTAGTCTAGCAATCTATACACTAGACTATGGTCCATAAAATTGTGTGGGCCATGGACCGGCCAAAACGGCTTCATTTCTTTTACTAAAAAGAAAACGGCAGTCGTTACATTCTGCTACGCGCCCGGTTTTTTTTTTTTATGATGTTGTAATAAAATTACAGTGTGTATAAAATGAAACTGAATACCAGGTTGCGCACATTGAGTGTATATTGTTAAATGAAATTGTAGTTGAATTAGTAAAATACTTTAATTTAGTGATGATGTGGAAGAGTAGGGCAGCTAGTCGAAAAGCGCGCCAGTCAAACGCCGAGGGAAGACATGGTAGCTGGTTGAAAAGCGCACCAGTCAAACGCCGAGGGAAGACACAGGATATGTAACTGGTCTAATCTATTGATAGCATAGAAGGGTGTGATGGGGTGCTCTGGCAAGGATATAGCCAGTCTACCCCCGCGGTAGACTGCCTCACTGAGCAATTGCCCCTTGGTGCCGAGGGGCTGGTTAGACTGCCTCACTGAGCAATTGCCCCTTGGTGCCGAGGGGCTGGTTGGACGGACTTCTGGTCACTACTTTCTTGCGTCCTCAACTTCGCGATGCCACAAGAAAGTGGGTGACTGGATGTTGGGGGTGGTAATCACGATAGCCGGGTGGCCGATTGGTTCACGGTCTCCAGACCGGTCGGACCAATGGCCCCGGTCCGCTGGGCCGCCTCTGTTCGTCATGTCTCTACATTTAATTAGTTACCTCTTTAGGTCCAAGATTGATGTAACTTATGGTTCCTTCATGAGAACATGTTACGAATTAATATTTATACTATTTCAACATTTTAGGTCCAAGATTGATGTAACTAATGGTTCCTCCATCGTGTGAGGACATGTTAAGAATTAATATTTGTACTATTTCAACATTATAAGTCCAAGATTTATGTAACTAATGTTTCCTCCATCTTGTGGAGACATGTTAAGAATTAATATTTGTACTATTTCAACATTTTAGGTCCAAGATTGATGTTACTGATGGTTGCTATGGATGTGCCCACTTTTTGTATAATCCCCACATTCTCGCTGCCCGGTTTCGAACATTGGTCTCTTCTCCCAAATACTGCCTACTAATCCAATGAGCTAAGCTCGTGTGGGCAGGATATTTTTGTTCTTGTGACAAAAGGTGGAATTGCCCAACCCAGGCATCCTCATACACCTGACCCGACAGTTTGTGGAGGGGTAAATCTTGGTGACTCAACTTATCAACAGAGGCTAGATTTTTGCTCACTGGGCACAAGGAGACCCCCTCATTTTGAGAGCCCATATTGTCCCTGGTGAGACTCAATCCTTGATCTCTTATGACAAATTTCACATCTATAACCAGTTGGGCAACATAGTTTTGTTCTTATTTTTATGGGAGGAAGTTTTTTGGGGCAAAATTATATTTTCAGCTTGACTTATACTTCGACAAAAACTTAAATAACACCAAAAAAGTTCTTATTAAACATTGGAGATAATCTTCGTGAATGATTCAGTAGATTTTGGATGAAAAAGAGAGCATTTTTTTTTTTTTTTTTTGCATTTAGGGGGCGTTTGGTTCAGGTTATATAACATAACCAAGGGAATGTGACATTCCAAAGCTCACATACCTATGTTTGGTTCACATTATCTCAGGGAATCTAACATTCCTCAGGAATGTCACATTCCCTCCACATAGGATTTTGAATGGAATGTGATTCCCTTCAATTTCTAAGGTTATGTAAGATAACCTTGGTTATGTTAGTTTATTACACACACACATGTATATATAATTATTTTTGTAATTATATATTTGTTTATTTTTATTATGTTAGGTTAGCATATAAAATAATTTTGTTTTTCAAGTTCAATATTTTAGTTCATATTTTAAAATCATGTAATTATATATGATACCGTTATCTTATTTATTTATTTTAATTTTTAAATTTATTAAAATATATGAAAATATGTTAAGGATATTATAGTGTGTGAATAAAAGATAACCCTAAACCAAACATGATTATATTACATACCCCAATTTTAACCAAACACAGGAATCTAACATTCCCAGTAATCTAACATTCCCAGCAATCTAACATTCCTTAAGGTAATCTGACATTCCGTGAACCAAACGACCCCTTAGGATATTCAAATCGTAATGTGAGAATTAAAATAGTTAATAATTGAAAGAAGTAGTGATAGTATTCAAAAGATACTAATTTACCCTCAATTACTCATGTTAGAAACAACTTTAGATTTTCCATCTAAAATAATGATATCCATGATAACAAGGCTAAACACATATCGATCTTTCCATTTACAGCACGTTTGGTTCACGGAATGAATTTTGAGGTAATAGGAATGCTATTCCATAAGGAATGGAATAGGCAAGGAATAGAATAGGAATTGTATTCTATTGTTTGGTTCGCGGAAGGAATAGACTTTAGGAATTATATTACAGTGTTTGGTTGATTTAAGGAATAGAAATGAAATATGTTTTAAAAGACATAAATACCCTTATAAAAATATGTGATGGTGGTGATGGTGGTGGTGGTGGTGGTGGCGGTGGCGATGGTGGTGGCGGTGGTGGTGATGGTGGCGGTGGCGATGGTGGTGGCGGTAGTGGTGATGGTGGCGGTGGCGGTGGTGGTGGTGGTAGTGGTGGTGGTAGTGGTGGTGGTGGCGGTGGCAGTGGTGGGGGCGGTGGTGGTGGTGGTGATGGTGGTGGTGGCGGTGGTGGTGGTAGTGGCAGTGGTGGTAGCGGTGGCGATGGTAGTGGTGGTGGTGGTGCTGGGGTGGTAGTGGTGGTGGTGGCGGTGGCAGTGGTGGGGGCGGTGGTGGTGGTGGTGATGGTGGTGGTGGCAGTGGTGGTGGTGGTGGCAGTGTTGATGTTGGTGGTGGCGACGACGATGGTGAAATAGGATAAATTTATATATAGGATAAAAAAATTAGGTTAAAGAAAGGGGTAAAAAAGAAAATAGATTCTAAAATCTATTCCTGAGCGTTCAGTAATAGGCTAATATCAGAGAGCCCTAATAATAGCTATTACCTTATTTGAGGTAATAGGCTATTACCAGGAATAGTAATACTATTCTTGGTAATAGAAATGGTTACCAAACAAAAGAATAGGCCTATTACTGGGGATACTATGCCATTCCCGGCCTATTCCGTGAACCAAACGGGCCATAAGACTAACTACATCAATGGATTTTTGGTGGTCTTTTGCAAGGAAAAAAAAAAACTTAAAGATGAGTTTTTTTTTTTACTGATGTGGGGTGGTTTTTTAGAGCAATAGTTATGTTGTGCAACCGGATGTACCATGCGCATGGTGCATACGGTTCAAAACGACGTCGTTTTGATTAAAAACGCGCGTCCCACTTTAAAAAAAAAATCAGGTTTGACTCTCAGCAATAGCATTATTGTGGATATATAATTATGAAATTGTGGATATATAGTTATGAAATTGTGGTTATATAGTTATGAATTTATGGATATTTAGTTCATTCATTGTGGATATTTAGTTCAATCATATATTGTGGATATTTAGTTCATTCATTGTGGATTTTTACTCCATTCATTCATTCATTGTGGATTTTTACTTCATTCATTCACTGTGGATATATAGTTATGAAATTGTGGATATATAGTTATGAAATTGTGGATATTTAGTTCATTCATTGTGGATATTTAGTTCAATCATATATTGTGGATATTTAGTTCATTCATTGTGGATTTTTACTTCATTCATTCATTCATTGTGGATTTTTACTTCATTCATTCACTGTGGATATATAGTTATGAAATTGTGGATATATAATTATGAAATTGTGGTTATATAGTTATGAATTTCTGAATATATAAAAATGCTATTGCCGGGAATCGAACCTGATTTCTTCTTTAAGTGGGACGCGCGTTTTTTTAACCAAAACGGCACCGTTTTGCAACCGGATGCACCTTGCAAGGTGCATTCGGTTGCACAGCATAATTTGCGTTTTTAGAGAGGATATTTTCTTTTTAACTTTTAGCATCTATGTGGGGTGGTTTTTTCTTGAGCTTTTACTCGCAAGTTCAAGTTCTTTGTGGGACCCACTGCTGACAAAATGGAGAAAAGTTGTCACCTGGGTGCGTGTTTGGCGCACATCCGCGCCCAGCAGGGTGCTTAATGTTTAATATATTTTTTATTTTTTGTTCTTTTTTTTTGTTAGATTTTTGTGTTTCATTTTTTTTTTTTTTTGTTCTTTTTTCTTCCACTTCCTTCTTCATTCTACCCACTTTCCTAGTGTCATTGCAAAAACCAACAAAATCTTTAACTATGAGATTGTTCTAAATACGTCGCCTTAATGACTAATTAGGGGTAGTATGTACTATTGAAACCCTATATTAATTAGACAAGAATTACATATGCCTTACAATTCAGAGACCCAAACTGCACTTTTCTATATAGGCATGGACGCATGGTTAACAAGTTTAAAGAAAATGAAAAATAGCGTTTTTGGCCTTTCAATTATTTTACTTTTAAAAATTTTATCCCTTACAATTGATTTGAATTGAACAAACTTAGTCCTTCAATTGTACATAATGTGCCACATTATTTAGTCCCTGATATTATATACTTAAAAATTTTGTTAATAATATCAGGGACTAAATGTGATATATTATGCATAATTAAAGGACTAAGTTTATTCAAAACAATTTACAGAATTTAATTCTTTAAAAGTAAAATAATTGAGGAGCTAAAAATGCAGTTTTTATTAAAGAAAATGTTGAATAAAGAAGTGAGCGTACCGTGCAAGAGGTGGTGCAAGCTTCCATGGGGGATGTATTCATATATAATCAGCTTTTCATCTCTAGAATAGTAAAACGAGACGATCTCCGCAAGGTTTTCATGCTTCAAATTCCCCAGCAACTGCATCTGCTGGATGAACTCCTTCTTACTCGCAGAGTTGATTTGGCTGAGCCTCTTCACCGCCACAACGCTCCCACCTTCCAGCGTCGCTTTGTACGTCGTGCTGAGCTTCCCCTTCCCCAGAACTTCTGCGGAAGCTCTCAATAAATCGTCAAGATCAAAACCAACTGTTATGCCCTCCTTGTTGAAGAACTCCAGCTCCACTCTTTTCTCTGGGTCCTCTGGGCCACGAGACCAGGGACTCCTCCTTTCAGTATGCTCCGTTGGAACCCTCTCTGTGTATAATTAAGAATCACTAAATTAATGCCCACACGGATTTAATCTACCCGTTCAATTGACAGTATTTGAGATAAGAAATTAAAGTTTGAACTTCAGCAATAACACTATGAGATTATGTCCAAACTCCAAAGTAGCAATCATAATGTGTGAACCATGGTCCACACAATTGTGTAGACCATACTTTCAAATAATGTACATTCAGTACACAAATAATGTATTTTTAGTATATTAGAAATGTACATTATATTCATAGAAAGTATATTTTTTGAATACTAAAAGTATATTATTTTGTATAATGTACATTCCGTCCACAAATAATATACTTTTAGTATATTAAAAATGTACATTTTGTACTTTTAATAGACCTCTTGTGCACACTAACACTTACTCCCTCCTAAATACTCTATTGAATTGAAGTCTAGGGAGCCTAGGAGTTGAGGATTCAATGAGAGAAGAATCACTAAATTAATGCAATGTAAAAAATAATGAAATTGTGATTAAATTAGGGCATTCCACTAGTAGGGTTACCACTGGCTGGATCCATTCTTATACTTCCTCCATCCAAGGACGGAGCCAAAGGGGGTGGGGTAGCTGCCCCCTCAACCCACCCTCACTCCATATATAATCTTTGTATATATATATATATATATATATATATATATATATATATATATTACATGACTTAGTATTAATATAAAAAAACTATTAAATGTTAACAAGAAATTAGTTAGATTAGTTGGTAGAACACATATTTTGTAATAGTAAAAGTCAAGAGTTTGAATCCTTGGCATCAACATAGTTTTAAAGTTTTTTTACTCCTTTCCTATGGCTTCAAATACAGTCACCTTTTTAATAGCTTTTTTAATATTTAATAACACAGACACATAATATTCTTTTATATTAATAATGAGATATGTAATTTATAATGTGTTTTCTATTCAAATTATTTTATCAAATTAATTATGTTTCATATTTTGTTAAGAATATTTTTATAAAGTTTCGATATATTTTATTTTTCGCACATATCTAACAATATTTACAATTATATTTCTAATTTATTTATTTATTTTTTTAAATTATCTCTTTTGTTTTAATGTTTCTCTTTTAATGAAAAAAATTTTCTAAATCCGTCCTTATTTCTTCGCCCCCTCAACCGAATTTCTGGCTCCATACTTGCCTCCATCTATCTTCATTTCTATGTGAAAAAATTTTAAAACTCACCCGGTATCCACTATATGGGTATCGCCACTATTTATTTTATTAAAATATTTCAACAAAAGGTAATAATATTTAAATTATTTATTCATAATAAAATTTACTACTCATATTAATACATAAAATAATAAAAAATATATTAAAAATTGACTTATCTATATAGAATTAAAAAGTAATATTTAATTTAGTTATAGTTTCTATGACTTCTATAAATAACTACTAACTAATATTTATTTTACTATTAATTTATTAGTTATATATATAAATAAATAAATAAGTATGTTTTTTTTAATGTTACTGATTCTATTATAATGTTGTATATATTTATATACTTTCTCAACCTACTGAAATACAAAGAGCCAATAACACCTCTATTAAGGCTCGAACTCACAACCTTCTAAATGAAAGTCCAACCCGGATATCATTAGACCATATAGTATTGGTAAGTATGTAGTGTATATAAAATAATTACATGGTGAGACAAGTGAAGTTTTTAACAGAATTTATATATATAATCTTTACTTTAGTAGACTCGCCATCTATTATCACCAAAAATAAAAATGATCCATGCTAGACAAATTTGGGTAGATACCCCACAAGGGGTTGAAACTGTCACCTCTACCACTAGAGCAACAATTGTTACATCATGGACTAATATCCACTTTAAATTGTAGATCTTAGTCCAAAAATATGTATATGCAATTAATATATTAGTGTCTTCCTTTATACTTTGTCAAATGACTGCCGCTCAAAGAGTCAATACCCCACCACCGCAAAGGTGCTATCTTAGTACAAGGTACTTGGCATACACATAATATGTTAACTACAAACATATAATCTAAATATCATTTTGAATCGAGTTAATTACTGAAATGGTCTCTTAATTATAGCGAAATTACCAATTTGGCCATTGACTATTTTTTTGGACCAATTAAGTCCCTCAACTTAAAAAATCTTAACCAATTTGGTCTTCCGTTTGTTATGCCGTGAACAGACCAAATTGATAATTTTGCTATAGGCAATGGACCATTTTAGTAATTAACTTTTCAAAAAAAATGATGTATGTGAATGTGAGGACCAAAATGATCTTTTGACTATAGCAAAATTACTAATTTGATCCCGAATTAACGGATTAATAAAAAAAAAAATAATCATGAACCAAATCGATAATTTTGCTATACATAATGGACCATTTTGATAATTAACTCTTCTGAACTACTAAAGTCAACAATATAATGCCAAGTATAATTTGCCCCAGAGTAAACTCTCCCAAATATATGGGAGCATACATACCTTTTTGTTCACTTTCCGCTTCTTTTTTGCTGAGGGCCCTTCTATAGCAGCAGCAGAGGACAATAAGCATGATGGAGAGAGTGAGTAGAGCACCACCAGCACCTGCTATCAAAGCAATACTCCACACCTCAAGACCTTTCTTCTTCTTCTTCTTCTTCATTGGGATTGTAGGCGGCGGAGAAGGTAGCGGCGACGGCGGAGGAATCCGGCAAGGTGTGTCCAGAGGCTTTCCACACAGACCCGGATTATCACCATACGAACTCTCCGAAAACCTCTGCAGGGCAGCGGTTTCCGGGATCTTCCCTTCCAGGCGGTTTCCCGATACGTTGAAACCAATCAAACTTGGCTGATCGAAAGGCGGGATCGAACCCTGAAGACCATTGCGGTCAAGCCCCAAGTGTTTGAGATTTGGGATATGAATATATCCCAACGGGATAGAACCCGAAAACTGGTTTTGCGAGAGGAACAGGAATTCGAGGCGGGATAGCGGCGAGAGATAGGGGAGAGGGCCGAATATAGAGTTGTTGGTGAGGTCGAGCTTAGTCAAGAGAGTTAAGTTTTGCAGGAAAGAGACGGGAAGGGAACCTGTGAGGTTAATTCCTTGGAGAAGGAGGCGGGTAACGTGCCAATCGGAGCAGGCAATTCCAGGCCAGTTGCTGGTGTTCCCCTCGCATGGCGGGCCTGTCCATTTGGAATGCAAATTGGCATTGGATTGGAGGCCATCCCTGAGTTGCAACAGAGCGTTTCTTTCTTCTGGGTAAATCTCTGACGCTGCCATAACCATCACAACCATGAAAACAACGCCAAATACCCCACCACTGCTCTTTGCCATCACTGGTGTTCAACAATTTTTCGTGAACTAAGTAATTACATCTCATCTGAGAATTGCAGGCTGGCCTGGGGTGGGGAAATCTTGATGATGATTGATATGGATTTGATTCTGGAATTCTTGGCATTCATATGATGATATAGCGTTTAATTTGTTGAATAATTTAGATGGAATTATTTAAGACAGCTTTGACGTAGTAGGCAAGGCACAAGGCTAGCTAGGCGAGGTGGTAGAGATTCCGATTTCCGAGACGTGGACGGGGACGTGAAAGCGGCTACACCCAACATTATAATTTTAATTTGTTTGTTTAATCAATGTACTCCCTCTCCCCTGTTTCCATTTTACTTTACTATTCATTCCTAAAATCAACTCTTTGCTTATTTTTTTAATATTTTATAATTATTTTAAAATTTGAGTTTTTGTGATATCACTTTTGTAAATTCGCGAGTCTTTTCATCAAGATACAAAATGTGGGTCATATACATACTATTTTGCACTTCTTGACAAATCTAATCTATTTTGTTATTCTAAGCTGTTATTCTTTTTGAGGTAATGAAAATCTTGTTATTCTTAACTCTTGGTCTTGGGAATTCCTATATAACCTAAGTGACACAGTCAACGTCTTTTCCATTCTTTTATTAAATGATTTATGATTTATGTATCTAATTCCATTCACCACATGGTTGGGAATTAATGATTGGCTCTATTTATCAAGATTTTGGATTTGGTTATAATGATCAAATTCTATTGATCTTGTTTCCACGCACCTTTCCAGTCATTCTTGATACAATTTTGAATATAGAATGCAAAAAACTTAGTGGGTCCTACGCAATTTTAAACAAATTAATCATCTAGGTTATGACCTGTGTCAGACCCACCGACGAACATAATTTGAAATAAAGAATTAAAAGCAGATAAATAAAGGAACCAAGAACACGTGTTACGGAGTTCGGTAAAACTCTCTTATGTTTACAGGGTCACTTAAAAGTGAAATTCAACTCCACTATATGATCACAGAGATTACAAACAATTGAATTGATTTCACATACACACTATGATCTAATTATTCACACCAAACTCAATCTTCATCATCTCCTAAGTTGGTAGAATCCTGAGAATCAACGTTCCAAACGGTATCACTTTTCTAAACCAATGAGAGACTCCACACCTCTATGGAATAAAGCCCTTTCAAATTTCACCACTTGATAGCCACGTTGAAACAAATAGATAAAGCAAATTAATTAAAGACATTAAACATATTCGTAATTGTAGAACAAAATGGCGTGTTGAATTGTTGTCTGGCACAGATAATCACGCCACGTTATATAGAGGAAACTAGTAATTGCCTCGTGCAATTCACGAACTATTATTAATTTAACAAATTTATAAATTAAATTTTTGATATTTTCTGAATTAGCAAAGAAAGTAAGGGTTGTGGAAACAGAAAAACGTACTTGAGTTCTTGAGTTCAGAATTAGTTTGATTAAAAATGTAAGTATAACTATACAATGTAATATTTAATATTTTTAAAAGTTTAATTATGCTATTATTATGTTGATATTAAAGTTTATTGTTACTTGTATTATTATTTGAATTTGAATTTTTTTTAAAGAAATTTGAATTTGAAATAACTACTTTAATTATATAACAAGGTATATAAATAAACCTTGTAAATAAAATAACATACGATATTTGTCGAAAATCTCCACAAAAAACTTATTCATTTGAAAAAGATTATTTATGTAAGAACCATATTTATTTTATATCAAATTTCTCCTCTTTATATATGTGGAGTCAAATTAATTATAATTGAGGTTTAAATGAATATATACACAAATTATATTAAATATAAAACTTTACCAATAAATTTGAACACAATAAACTTTTTTCCATACTTCATTATGCTTTAATATATATAGAGATAGAACTATAATTATAAATACACATAATAACTTCAAAAAAATATGTATAAATACATCTACCCACACAATTAATGCATTCATACTTGCAAAATCTGCTTTATTATATATAAAAATAAGACTCTGAAATCGGGTAATTTGTTGCAAGAAACTCCTCAAAATAAGATGAGACAACCAATCTTGAACAAGTTCCTATAGACTTTAATCTCTAACCAATTAATGTTAGAAAGAAACGCATAATCCCGCATACTAGCTACACTGTCTATCCCGTATGCTCTGTTGGGTCGGGGTGTGGGGGCCTTTAGGGTTGGGGTTCAACCTTTTGGAAGAACAGAGTTGACTCTATTGTAGAATGGATGGTTGTCTAAAACAAGAAAAAATTGCACCTAAAAACTAATATATTTTATCAAATAATTGGTCAATAAAAATGTGTTAAAATGTGTATCATTTATACACTCACAATGTTTAAACATGTGAGACAAGTCACTACGGTCTTAGCAAGCATGACAGCGAACTAGAATAACCTCTGGATTGACTGGGTGAGATCTAAGCCAAGGACCCTTCAAGGACTTGACAAGGACCACTTGGGAATTCTGAGCTCTAAGAGAGTTAATATGATATTGGGTCTATAAACACACACAAAAAAAATAAAAAATCAAAATCAAAATTGCATATATATAACACAGTTTGTATAATTTAAAATGTGAGTACAACTAGAGATGTCAACTTCAAAATAAATGTCAACTCTGCAGAGCGTCAAAGTACCTTCATTGTCTTCAAATATCTTCAAGTGTGTCTTCAACTCTTCAAGTATGATTCAAAGAATAAAAGGATGGCTCTATTTACAGTGAAGAAAATGTAACCTCAAATCCGCCCCATAACAATCTCCACTAATATTTATCCAATAAATAAATAATTATGTAGGATAAATACTAAGAGTAGTTTATCTAAAATGAACATTGCCATAATCATATGTACAGGTTCAAGATTCTATCACTACATTTGAATTTAATTATAATTATTAAATTCAAATATAATAAAACTAAGTCAAATCTAATTGGACATTTTATTAATTAATTAATTAATTAATTCAATAACTCAAATTTAAATTAAAATTATTTGGGCTAATTCAATTAATTCAATTATCACGGTCCAATTAATTAAATTGACTCAATGATCAATTTCGAAATTAGGCCCAATAATGATTTTATCGGCACATTTATTATTTTCAAAATTTCTATGCCTACCGGGTCCCCCTCCATTTGTTTCAAATTTGATTTTTTGTATTTAATACTACTTTCAATAATGTAATTTCTAAATATATAAATTTTATATACAATACTAAATTTAACATTATGAAAATTTGAACTAAAAATAACTTCACTCAAGTATCGTTAATCGGACCAGACACAAAATGGACAGATGTAGTAATTGTTTGAGAACAAACACATCTTAATTAAGTGTAATATATACTATCAATTATATTTGGGGCAACCCCACCTTAGTTGGCCAGGGCGGTAGTTGATTGGTAATCACAAGTTAGGTTAAAAGTTTACTTCTTAATAAAAGCGGTCTATTAGGTTAAATCTATGTGCTTTAATAGGTTGAGAAAGTAACTATAAACAGATACTACATTGTAACAGAGTAAGTAGTACTCAAACAAAAAAGGGCGGTCTACTGGCAGCTATGGACAACTAGCACACCTCAAGCAGTCGTTGCTTCTACTTTGAAGACTAAACATCTTGAGACTGTAAATAAAATAATGTTATCAACTTATTTTGAGTTATATCAAGATGCATACAAGCTAGAAATAAAAACCTTTAATTTGAGACAAGTGAGATGACTTTTTTTTTTTTTTTTTTTTTTTTTTTTTTTTTTTTTTTTTTTTATGTCAAGATTACAGACTAATTATTAGCACGAATTATGAAAGTGTTGAATTGTGTGTTTAACATTTATGGTGTAACTAACAATAGTTATATGCATTGCACATTCGATAATTTTCTATTAATCAACCGAACTGGCAAAATTCGATTAATCTTTTTTTAACCGAATTTTTTCGGTTAGGTTAATGGTTAAAGGTTTTTTCAAAGTTCGGTTAACGGTTAATTCGGTTAATTCGGTTCGAAAGTGTCGGTTAACCAAACTTTTCAGTGTATATATATATATATATATATATATATATATATATATATATATATATATATAATGTATTAAATATTTAAATGTAATATGTAATGTAAAATTTTTATAGTTGTTGCGTATTGTTTTTTGTATATTTTGTTATGACTTTATTATGACATGTATTATTTTAATTGGATTTATTACTTTAGGTGTTATTTTTAAGATTTTAAATTTTAGGTTAAAAAAGTTCAGTTAATCGACCGATTAATCAAAAAAAAATTTAGTTTGGTTAATTCGGTAACACAAACTTTAGTTCGGTTAACGGTTAAAAGTTTAAAAACTTCAATTAAAACGGTTCGATTAAAACAGTTCAGTTAATCGATTGAACACTCCTACGTATGTGTGATTAATAGTAAATTTATTAGATATCAAAATCTTCAAACTCTTTGAAAAATAAATGTTTTATCAAAAGCATTAGTGTTTGGTTTATGATAAATGTCACACAATTCAGACGCTCAAAACAAGGTCCAGATAATCTAGAAAATTGGGCGCCCGGGGTCGTTATATCGTGGACCGTGGAACGGCGCCGTTTCTTTAAGTAAAGAAACGGCGCGCCGTTAGTTTTAACGGAGCGCGCATTTTTTTGTATCTTAATTATCAACTGACACTACAGTATATCTAAACCGACACTGCTTCACGTATTATTTTTATATTATCAAATGAAACTGCAGTTATATCAAAATGATATTGTAGTTGTGGTGAAATGAAACTGAATAACATTTCACATATTTGAGTGTATATTGTACAATGAAGCTGTAATTATATCAAAATGATCATGTAGTTGTGTTTTAATAAAACTATAGTGTATATAAAATAAAATAAAATAACATTTTCACATATTTGAGTCTTTAAATATCGAATGAAACTGTAGTTATATCGAAATGAAACTGTAGTTGTGTTGAACTGAAACTGCAGTGTATACGAAATAAAACTGAATAACAGAGTCACTTTTTGTGGAAGGGTGCGGAATGGCGGGAAACAGATGACTTTTTTTTTTATTAAACAAAACGACGGTGTTTTGATGCGCGGTGCATTATCGATTATGCATTGCGGTGCACGATATAATTTGCCTAGTTTGTGGCTTTGATCATTTGTAGGGACAAAAAAAAAAATAACGTACAGCTTCGTGGGGCTTAATTCAAAAAATAAATAAATAAAAAAAAATGTACAGC